ATGTCAGTGATGGCTGGCATAAAAATTTGCAAACACAAACAAGTGCGTAGTGAGAAAGAGAGAGTTTAACAATTGTAATAGTTGATACCAAGATTTTACTAAATTAACATCAAGATTACTTTCTACACTTGGATTTGATAAAGTTTCATGCATGTAGCAAATCTATGTGGTTGACTTCATCAAACTAAATTGAGCTCAAGAAGTCATGAACAAGCACCCTCCAAGTTTGCCATATTCCAATCCAAACTTCATAAATTTGCATGTTACACATTATCTTCCAACCTGATATGCACTAAAAAATAAATCAGAAACTAGAAATAAAATCATTCTATTTTCCTCCTTTCATAAATTAAGGCATAACATACCCGAGCATGAAGCTTTTCAGTTTCTTTGACCATGAAATCAACCGAGCCGTGGAACCCATCCATGAAGAAAGCATTAGGGTCATATGTGTCAACATTGAAACAATATTGAGCTCTCTCCAGGAGGCTAAATATGATGCTGTCCTCTTGTCGAATTAAAGAATTTCTTATACCCTCTAGAGTAATATGATTAAAATGTTTCCAACAGATTGAGTACACAGCAACTACTAAACAGCAAAGTCGAAAAAAATAAAAAGAGAGAATGATTTTGAGCAGCCACTCTTCAGAAGGATGATAACCAAGCGATACACATCTGCTCCATCATATGAATTTCACCAATAAGCAGAGCATTAACAATTGAAAGTAAAATCATATCATATATACAGATAAACAATGGCCTCTAAGTGCCACAGAACAATACATCAATAGTTTAGCATATTTATTTCTTGAAACCATTCTTGTTGCAGGTTTCCAAGTAAAACATTCATAGATGAACAATGGCCTCCAAATGCCACAGAACAATGCAAATGAAAAGATCAAAAACACTAATATATTCAATCATGAGCATCTCATCAAACAGAAAAAAAAAAAAAAAGATTGACTCATTGAATATAACAGCTATATAAACAATAAAGGATTGGATTGAATAGCTATATAATCTATTCGATTTTGTTATTTATTGAACACTATAAGGTCTGAATCTATTTTCAAGCAAATTACATAAGAGATGACAGAAATTTGGATATAGAAAATACACATTCATCATTTTCGCAGCACATAACTGAAATCAAATACACAATTAATGACAGAAAATACACAATTATTTATTGAACGCCATAAGGTCCGAATCTATAAAAGCTTCGTAAAAAATACACAATTATTTATATCTCCTTGATCTAACTTTCAAATCCAGATTAGCTGATGTTACACATGCTCCAATCTAACATGACAAAAAATAATAATAATAATTCGAATTCAGAACTGAAATCAAGCAAGTTCAGAGCAAGTTCATCATTTTCGCAGCACAGAACATACACAATTAAGAATTGAATGGTTCAGTTTGTACCTGTAGCAGATGAGGAAGGATTGATTCAAACCAAAGCTTCGTCGAAAGGTGATCTACGGTTGCGACTACAGTGAGTTCAGATGATAAGAAACAAGTGATCGAAGTAGAGAGACAAAGAAGTTGAAATACGCATGAATGATTCAAAGAGACTCACTGAGACGAGAGAGAGAGAGAGAGAGAGAGAGAGAGAGAGAGTTCATACCATTGGAGGTCACTTCTTCAGACGACCATGGTGATCTATAGAGGGAAATCGAGAGAGGGAAATCAGATTCTCTTACTCACACACGATCGAGCGAAATCAGATTTGGGGGAAATGAGAGTCCAGGGGAAATCAGTCTCTGTTAGGGCATAGGTATAATAAAAGGAGGGTGCTATTGCAAATATTAGTTTTTGCGATGGTCAAATAATCAGTCGCAAAAACATTAGTCGCAAAAAGCCAATTTTCTAGTAGTGGTAGAAGAGAGATTTTTCAAATAGATTCTTGAGAAAGGTTGTGGAAGTGTATAAAATGTTAGGTTGTGTTGAAATATTGAAATTTCCATACATAAAAGTGATTTTCAAAGTAAATGAGATTTTGTTTGAAAATCATTGATATTTGATTTATGAAAGAAAAGGGAAAAGATGTTGGGTTTGAAAAGATAAAAGGAATGCATCTGTTAATAATGAGAGTTAAGTTATAGTATCACTCCCATTTTGAAAATGATGAGATTATATCTGTTGTTAGAAAATTATATGTTGAGTAGAAATATCTATTTTGGGCTATCAATGGAGAATAGCTTTGATTGATGTAGAAATTGAATGAGGATTAGGGTAATTGAAACTAATTACTTATACATCTTGCATTGAGCATTGTTTCATACTTAAACATTGAAAATTTATTGTTTTGAGAAAAATGGGTGTATACCTTTGTGAATCTGGTTAGGAGGTATGGTTATGGTTATTATGTTGGCCTGTCTGTCCGGTGAAAGTCTAAAAACCCACGCAGTTAGGTGCTGATCCTTCCAGTTAGTACTGGTAAAATGGCATGCATATACATTCACGTTATGACTTCATTAAGTTTTATACATTGTGTTAAAATATCTCTACTGGGCTTTAGCTCACTTAATGTGGAAAACAACTTTCAGATGCTAATGATATGCCTTCATCAAGGACATAGCTTGTGAGAACTTGGAGTCAAGAGCTTTTTTTGTTTCTTTTAATGTAATTATTTTTGTAAAAGTCATGGGCTTTAACTATATTGAGTTGAATTCACTTTTGTTGTACCCAAGCATTGACTTGGAAAGATATAGTCATTAGGGAATAAACTTACTTGTATCTCCTTATGTTTCAATTGATTTATACATGTCATATGCTATAGATTCAGGATCTAGGATTTATAAATGTATACACGCATATGTCATCTTTTGTACTATTAAAGAGTATTCACTACAAGAAACTGGGTTATGAGACGGAACTATTTGCGACGGCCACTTGCCGTTCACAAAGTTCACTTTTGCGACGGCAGAAATGTGTCTCAAAAAGCAGAGATTGCGACGGCACTAATCCGTCGCAATACCTCTCTTTTTTTGAACGGCAAATGTGCCGTCGCAATGGCTCTGTTTTTTTTTGAGCGTACATGGTTGCGGTCGCAAATACTCTGCTTTTTTGAGACAGCATTTCGTGCTCGCAAAAAGTGACTTTCGTGTTTTTTTTTTAGTGAATTTCTTTAAAATTTTATATTTTTTTTAGATGTACCTTACTTAGATGTTACTACAATAAACATTATGAAAAAATATTTTTAAAATTAATAATACTAAAAAAATTTACAAACAATGTATTGTTATTGTTTTTTGGTATTTAGTGATTTTTAAAGATTTTTTTACAATTTTTTTTAATTTTTAGGTGTATTTATGTAGGGTGTGTCTAAAAATTTTTAAAATATAATATTTTAATTTTTGTGAGAGCAGATAAGAGAGAGTAGAGGAGAAGACAGAGGATAGAGTGATGCAGCGAGAAGAGAGAGAGATGCAAGTGGTTACTTAAATGAAATTATTAAGTATTTTAAATTTTTGACACCCAACATAAATTACACCTAAAATTAACAAAAATTTGTAAAAAATCTTTTAAAATTCACTATACCAAAAATACCCTAATTCAATACATTTTTTTGTATTTTTTTGTATTTATTAATTTTTTAAAATTTTTTTTATATTTTTTTTTTTGTAGATACATCTATGTAAGGGTAATCTTAAAAAAATATTTAAAATTTTAAGAATATTGCACTAAAACAAAACACGGGAAGTCACTTTGCGGACGGCAGAAAATGCTGTCTCAAAAAAGCAAGCTATTTGCGACGGCACCATTTTACGTCCAAAAACGAGCTATTGCCGACGGCACTATTTGCCGTTCTCCAAAAAATGAGAGTATTTGCGACGGTATTTAGTGCCGTCGCAAATGCTGCTTTTTTGAGACGCATTTTCTGCCGTTCGGCAAAAAGTTTGACTTTTTGAGAGGCAAGTGTGCCGTCGCAAATGAGTTCCGTCTGCATATTACCCAGTTTCTTGTAGTGAATACTCTTTAATTAGTACAAAGATGATATGCGTGTATTATTTATAAATCCTAGATCCTGAACTTCGCATATGAACATGTATAAATTCAATTGAAATAAGGGGATCAAGTTAAGTTTTATTCCCTAATGACTATATCTTTTCAAGTCAATGCTTGGGTACACAACAAAGTGATTCAACTCAATTAGTTAAAGCCCATGACTTTTACAAAATATTACATTTTAAAGAAACAAAAAACGCTCTTGCTCCAAGTTTTTCACAAGCTATGTCCTTTGATTGAAGGCTTATTATTGCATCTGAAAGTTGTATTTCCACATTAAGTGGCTAAAGCCCAGGTAGAGATATTTTAACACAATGTATTAAAACTTAATGAAGTCATTAACGTGACTGTATATGCATGCCATTTTACCAGTCCTAACTGGAGGATCAGCACCTAACTGCGTGGGGTTTTTAGCTTTCACCGGCCGACAGGCCAACATATAACCTAACCAACCTCCTAACCAGATCAAAAGTATACGCCATTTTTCTCAAAACATAAAATTTTCATGTTTAGTATGAAACAATGTCCAATGCAAGATGTATAGGTTATTGTTTAATTACCCTAATCCTCATTCATTTCTTACTACATCAAGCTATTTCTCCATTGTGCCCAAATGATATTATCTACTCACATATAATTTATCTAACAACAGATTATTAAATCTCATCATTTTCAAAATGGCGAGTGATACTTAACTTACTCTCATTATTACAGATGCATTCCTTTTATCTTTTCAACAACATCTTTTCCCTTTTCTTTCGATAAATCAAATATCAAGATTTCAAACCAAAATCTTTCATTTTACTTTTGAAAATCACTTTTATGTATTGGAATCTTCAATATTTCAACAACCTCACATTTTATCACTTCCCACCTTTCTCAGATCTTATTTAGAAAATCTCTCTTCTACCACTACTAGAAATTGGCTTTTTGCGCTAGTTTTTGCCGACCTGATTAGTGGACACGCAAAAACTAATATTTGCATTAGCACCCTCCTTTTCTTATACTATGCCTAAAGCAGAGACTGATTTCCCCTGGACTCCTCATTTCCCCCAAATCTTTGATTTTCGCGTCGATCGGTGTGAGTAGAAGATCTGATTTCCCCTCTCTCGATTTCCCTCTATTGATCACCATTGTCGTCTGAAGAAGTGACCTTCCAATGGTATA